ATGTATGTACATACATATATGTATATATAATATATGTATATATACTTGAGAATCATTTATCACTTTATTTAAATAAATAGCTTAGCAGTCTCAGTTTATTTTCAAGAAAAAGTCTTTGTGTTCATATGTATAACTAATTTCTAGAACATTATTTAAAAAATCGGCTTCGACAGATTTCTTGCAAATTTCAAGATAATCATTAAAAAAAAAGCGTCAAAATCAGTTGAAATCCAAGGGTTCTAGATATTTTTTAAATAAAGCAAGCCGAATGGCCCCACCGTGCGCTGGAGCGACGCGGCCATGTTTGGGGCCAGAAGATAAGGAAAACTGAAACGACCCTAGCGATACGTATCCCTGCTTAAAATGTCAGATCGAAAACGAATAAGAATTATAAAGATTTTCCACAAATTGTATGATAATTTGTAACAATCCGCATAAGCAAATGTCACTAAAACCGAAGCTAAGAAGCGCATAAGACCGCGACTTGAAAAGAAGAAGAGAGGACAGCGCATCCTCTCAGATGTAAATAGCGCGACCGCCGAACAACTGCGGTAAACAGCGAATCAAGCGAGATTCGCAATATATAAAACGCCGCGTAATCGTAATGAGATCAGATCCGATCTACCGCTCTTCAGAGAGAAGCCGATTCCGATCATACACTCTCTGGAGAAAACCGCAGATACCGTCCTTGGCAGCTTTCTGTTCGCGGATTCACGACTGACAGCATTCTGCCGTTGACTCCCGGATTCGGGATATCGACATTTCTCTAGCTACCGTTCCTGGCAGCTTTCTGTTCACGGATTCGTGACTGAAAGCACTTCGCCGTCGACTCACGGATTCGTGATATCGACATTGCTCCAGCTACCGTTCCTGGCAGCTTTCTGTTCACGGATTCGTGACTGAAAGCACTTCGCCGTCGACTCACGGATTCGTGATATCGACATTGCTCCAGCTACCGTTCCTGGCAGCTTTCTGTTCACGGATTCGTGACTGAAAGCACTCCGCCGTCGACTCACGGATACGTGAGATCTACATTGTTCTATTTACCGCTCCTGATGGGTTTCTATTCGCGGATTCGCAACAGAGATCATTCCGCCGTCGGCGCACGGATTCGTGACGCCGACACTGATAAACTCCGCTCTTCACAGCCACCAAAGGGCTTGGAAACCGTCACCCGGGGCGTTCGGCGCACCTTCCGCATGCGCACCGGATCTCGCCTTCGCCTTAGCGCGATCAAGATCACCGCGTATCGAGTCGCCGCGTGCGAACTCGTTATCATAGATTCAAAGTTACGTTCCGTTGTAACGTAGTTTCGACACCGCGTATCCAGGATCCGCGCTAGGATCACACCGTCGTCGCCTCGCAGGGACGCGAGACGACCTCCGTGATAATCATAAGCGATCTCCAAAAGAGAGATCGGACGAATTCCGTCACCGCGACGCATAGGCGCGTCCGCGGCACTGTCATACTGCATCAGCAATCATATTAGAACGAACCGAGCTCGTTCGATTACAAAGAGAACTTCGAGAGCTAAGGCCCCGTGTACGAGGACCGACGATCGCACCGAATACACCGAGTTGAATCAAATTTCCGCGATAGGAGATCGAAGGTATCACCGCCAAGGCCATACCTCGAGTGCTGCTACGTTGCAGTCGCACCGATCGTATCTACGGTACTATTCCGAAGCGCAGTTAAAATCACCGCATGAAATTGTCAACCGTAATTAAAGAGGCAAGATGCCGAAAGAAACATCAACTCGCGAAAGATAAACTCGCAAATACGCGGCATTGACACCGTCCGCGTTCCGCGCACCGCGCGTCACATCTCATGAGCCGTCGTCCAAACAAGCCTCTGACAGGCGATACACAATCGACCAAAACCAATGGCGTCGACACGCATTATTTGATAATTGTAATCACCAGCGAACTATTTAAATATATTATTAATTTTTGGTTATTAATCACTGTTTCTAAATTATTCCGCCTATTACGAACCCGAACCGACGACGATCCTAAACGCGACGATTCTAAACGCGATTCTAAACGCGATCCTAAACGCGACGCATCGCGGTTATAAATTTATGTAGTGTATATGAGGTCGCTTTTATAATGATAAAACTTTTATTATTACGAATGTAATTTTATAACAAATTTTTCTAATATAAATAAAACAATATAGAATCTATTGTTTTTTATAATAACATTCAATGCTTATGATTTTAAATATTTTATATCGCTACTAACAGCTATACTTTTTTATCCGAAGAAAACAACATTTCGTTTTATAAGATATTAACAATAGGTTATTTATAATATTTTATCAGACTTTAGCCGAATCCTGATATTTACACAATTTAATCACAATTTCACGAGTGTCACGAGAGTCTATCATTTCTTATGTGAAATTTATCATAAAAGACATGTATTTACGGATAGGAGTCCCGTTTCTCTGGATTAATAGAATCATATGCAAAAGGACGCATAGAAGTGTTATCGTTTCTTATGTAAGAAATACGTTGAGTCTGTTAACGGATCGCAGAAGAAAT